GAGTCCATATGTCCAATACAAGTCTATAAATTCCTCTGCAGATTCACACAACACATGCAATGACGCCGAATGCAGGTAGATCACAGGCCAGTGGGTGGAAAGTCTTGTGGAACCAGTGGTGGTGTAAGTATTTCCGCACTCGCAGGGATCTTCTCTTGGCTCCTCCAGCTCCAGGGTTCTGGCTCCATGATCACTGCTCCATGTGGCTTCCCAACAGGAATGTGTAGCAGTGTGGGACTGGCTTCCAGTGAGCTCTTTATCTCCTTAGCACCTCCAAATGAGGTCATTAAGCAGAGACCTGATTGACAGGCTACACTCCACCCCTTCATTCTTAATAGTATCAGGTGGACACCAGATTATCTAACCATGTGTAGGCTTTATCCTGTTGAGGTCATGTTCACACTGTCTTTAACTTCCTCACGGGCCCCCAATCTTGGGTTGATACATCTTGCCCTTCCTTTATTTCTCAGGCTCCTCGGAGCTTGCATCTCTGAATTAAAGGCCATTGGACCATAAAAATATGTCTGTGAAATAAAAACATGTATGTGAAAATACTGATAAGTTTTCTGTACAAACGTCACTGGCGAAGAGATGGTCGTTTGGCTGCCCCTGGGCCCACAGCCCAAGCACTGCCTCCACTCAGAGCTCTGAGTGATCAGGATCAGAGTTGGACTCAGGAAGGTCCCTGTTGGAAGGATCCACTTCTGCTTGACTTGACTCTCCAGGTGGCTCGAAGGGCCGCAAGTTTGCATAAGTCACCTCCTGGGCCAGCTGCTCCAGGGGAGGGCGGCCCAGGGCCAGATTTCGAAGTGAGATGCAGGTCATCAAGAAACTGAAACAGAGGGGAAACCACGCATTTCGAGCTCCATGTCAACATGCAAACTGCAGCTACAGCCCTTAGGGGCACCAGGCCCTCCCTCCCACCGCTGCACATAGTGAGCCCACCCTCCCAGCTGGAAAGACACCCCATTTCTTTATGCGGTCTGGTAGAGGACTGTTTCCGGGTGGCAACAGCAAGCATTGTGGGCGACACTGACCTGCGTCGAAAGAGATAGAGCTTTCGCAGCAAGAAGCGGCCCAGGCGCTGGTGGAAGGGCGCCTTTCTCCTGCGCTCCATCTCCTGGAGCCTTCTCTGGCGTCTAAGAAAGGTCTGAACCAGAGGCGTTGGCTCCGGGCCCCCGGCTACTTCCCCCTCCAGCAGGGGCTGCAGCTCTGGAGGGAGCGGCCCTGTCTCTGCCAAGAAGATGGCAAACAGAGGACTCACTATAAAAATGTTCTCTCCCTTCTCACGCCCCTTCCACCGGCTCCACATCCATCCTCTCCAGGCGAGAGCCCCATTCCCGAGCGGACTCCGTGCGAGCAGGACTCACTGCTCCGGCTGCGTCCAGTCACTCACCACTGCCATTCTCCACCTTCTCCTTCAGGTCCTGCAGACGCGCCAAGTCTTGCTCCAGGCTGACTTCCGTGGTGTTGACGTAGATGTACATGTAGCAGGACGGCGTGGGCGACGTGGTGTACACTTTGTGGTACTGGCCTGCAGGCAACTGACACAGGGGAGAAAGGGAGCCCTTTCCTTCTGGATGCTCCCCAGATGCAAGCCAGCTTCTGGGCTCTACCCTGCTCTCCCTGGAAACTTCCTTCTCAGTGTATGTTGGAGGCTGAAGAAACCTGGCCTTTTGAGCCGCACGGCTGCTCTCAGCGCTACAGCAAAGCATTCAGAGCCTGTGATGAGAACGCGCTCATCGAAACGTCTTTGAAATGCGACTTCCTGGGGTAGCTGTGGCTCACCCTCCAGAAGCGGGGTCCAGCTAGGCCTGCTGCCTCCCTTCATCCCAGCGAGTACCTGCATCTGCTCTCCCTCCCGGAGCGACTGATTCTTCTGCTCTGCCACCAGCTCCACGGCCACCTCCCCCTGCAGCAGCTGGATGCTAGTGTTGCCCAGATCTTCGCTCACAAAGTTCTCCAGGTGCAGACCTGCCAGGGCACTCGTTGTGGGTGAACACATTCCCTGCCGTAAGAGTGCACTATATCCAACCCCCTCCCCCTCCCCCACCACAGGGTCCCTGGTCAAGGGAGCCAGGACACAGGCAGAAAAGCTCCTCACGCCCCTCCCTACCAGGGAAGTCTGCGATGAAGACCACCTCAGTGTGGTTGTCCAGGCTGCTCTTGATCTCCTGCAGCTTGCTCCTCCAGGGAGACAGGTCCATCAGGAGTGGCTGCAGCCATGGTGTGCGCCGGAACGGAGACCAGGCGGCCTGCACCACGTCTATCCGAGGGTCAAAAATCCTGAGGGGAATACAAACACACACACTTTCTAAGAAGGCCACCATTACCCACCCTCCGGGAGGGACTTCCAGCTTTGCGCCTTCATCACTATTTGCAGAGAAAGAGATAGCTTTATGTCAGCCTGTCATCGCCATCTTGGCGGGGAGGGGTAGAGAAAGATTTTGAGGCACTGGGAGGAATGGGGTTAGTGGCTACTGAGAAGGCATCCTGTAACCCTTTCTGAAACAATGAGTCTGTGAACTCTTCTTCTGCGGGATGGTGCCCCCTGCTGGAAACAATCAGCCATGCCCCCAACCAGGTCCACAGGGACATGCACCAGAGGGACAGCCTGGCAAGCAAGACAGGAAAGGCTCCTCCCCCTGCTCTGCTCCCATGGCCCACCTCTGCTGGAAGCGCTCATTGATGGAGACCCAAATATCAAAGTAGATCTGGGGCTCAGTGACATTGTACTTGGGAAGCAGCTGGCTCAGGCAAGTGGCATATTGCTTCAGCATGTCTGCGTGGTCCTTCCAGCGCCGGCTCTGGGTGAACACCTGCCCCAAACCACACATTAGTCCCCTCTCGTGGTTCTCCACCTCGCGGACAGGGCATGGGGCTCCCAGAAGGAAATGGAATATGCCTTAGCAACGAACTTTCCATTGCTGAGCTAGTGGTACTTAACTTCTCTCTTCTTAAAAAAAAATATCGTGATAAGATAGCTATTCCATCATAGTGGGCATTTGCCACTATGCCAAATTTTTCATCGCCCACCCCCACCTCCCAGGCACCCATAACAAAAACACTACACTTCTTAATCAGGCACTCCCAGTTCCTCCCACTGGCAACCTCTAAGGTGGGCCTATTCCAGGTCGAGCATGTAAGTGGAATGGTACAGTATTTGCCCTTCTGCGTCTGACTTATCTCCCTCGGCAGTGTTTCAGGGTTCACGGGTTGTAGCATGTGTGGGAAGCTCATTCCTCTGCTGGAGGATCCTATACCATGATGGGACCCTGTCCCCAAAGTGCGTTCTGTGTGCGTAGTGAGGCCCCCATAGCTCCCTTCTCCCTCGTGGCTATCAGCGATGCTGCTGCTATGGCCAGTCCCGAGTCTAGACGGCAGAATGGCACAAGTTCAAGGAGAGCGGCCTTGACCTATCCTAACCCACAACACAACAGGAATGTCCACCGCCCAGCTGCTGGGAACGAGCCAGAAAGGGGCCACATGTTTTCCTGGACGGAGCCTGTGGGTGGGAGGCAGACCCACGCTCCAGGGGGCTCTGAAGGCCCGGGAGTGTCAAGAGCAGCCATCTCACCCCAGGGTTCAGGTAGCCCAGCTCGCCAGTGCGGCCGTCGCGGTAGGTGATCTTCACGTGCTGGTGGGAGCGGGAATGCACCATCATGTCCCAGGAATAGCCGTAGAGCCCATTGGTCCAGTTGTTGTAGCCCTGGGAAGGCCGGGCAGAGGGGAATTGGCTCACACACCATGATTCTCACACTACCAGCGCATCTGCCTAGAGCAGGCTGCAGGAGCAGCCCATTCTCGGCCCGTGCGGGCCCCGGCCCAGCCCTGCGGCCCCACCTGGGTGAGAAAGTGGCTGTAGGGCAGGAAGAGCTGCTCCAGCAGGTAGAGCACGGTGAAGGCCGCCCCCAGCTGATGGCGCAGCCCGGGCTTCCGGCCACTCCCGGCCCAGCTCCTCGTGGACAGGCAGGAAGCACTGGGCTGAGGGGCGGCCTGCAGGGGCAGCAGGTCCTGCAGCCTTTTGGGACAGTGAGACACCAGCTTCCGGGGCCACGCCGGGGAGCAGAAGAGAGGGCTGCTGGCCAGCATGACGTAGGGAAACATCCCTAGGAAGGCAGAGGAGCACGCCCTTCTGAGCTCCCTTCGCTGGAACCAGGGTCACGCCTCTCACCCCTGGCTCTCAGGGAGCCTCGGCCAGGAGTCCCACTTACAACGAAAGGGCATCACTCAGATCCTCGCACTGTCCAGAGATTCCCTACACAGCACAGGGAAGCAGCAGCCCATCCTCTGAGCCCGATTCAATCGTGTGTCACGTGATGACACTAGGCTGCATTCAGCTCCCACTCCAGCCCACCGCCCTTCCCAAGTGGGGCCTCTGGTCGGTCCCTGGCTGCCGAGCTGCGGCTCCTGTCTGCCACCTGGCTGCAGGGACTGACCGATGCTGAAGAGCTGGGAGTTCATGCAGTGGAAGTAGGACACGAAGAGAAGGCCCACGGGCCGGGAGGCATCGAAGAAGAGCAGGAAGCCGGCGGAGAGGTCGAGCAGCAGTCCACACCAGTGCACCACCAGCAGGCTGGTCATCTCCTCGGACAGCACCAGTCTGTAGACCCCAGAGGCAAGGGTCACCCCGGCCACCTTGGCACGCACAGCCCATTCCCGGCCAGTCACACTTCTGCTACCCCTGTCCTCCACACCCCGTGTGCGGGGAGGAACAAAACGGCCTCAGGTATGGAATCCCCCGTACACTCTCCCAGCCCGTATCATTTCCGGACACTCAGGGGCCGTGTGTTCCCAGTATGCCTTGCCCAGTAAGTAGGACAGGTCTTTCAGGGAAAAATTCGGACTGAGATACGTCTGTGTGCAGAAGACTTCCTCACGGAGATGTTAAGTGAGGGCCAACTCGGTATAAAAGGTGAACATATTATCGAGGAACTGGGGCCTAAGAGGAAAAAGACCAAGGTCACACCCAGGAAAGCAGCAGCAAAGAGGGCCGAGAGCTCTCGGGGAGGAGAGGCGAGCGTCCGGCAGCAGCCTGAGTGCTCAGCTTCCTGTCTGAGAACCCTGGCAGGAGGCTTCAGTGGCCAGCACCCTGGGCAACTGCTGGGCCCTGACTGGGCACCACTCACATCGTATGGCTCTTTCTGCTCCCCTGCTTCGTGCCGAGATCGAGAGTCTCCAGTGGCAGCCAGGCCTCTGCCCCCCACCCTGCCTTCTGCACAGTGGCGAGGAGAGGAGCAGACACAGGAGGGCAGGACTAGCTGCCGCGGTGGCAGACCCACGTAGGACGGGTCACCCGCCCCAGACCTGTGCCTCGGTGAGCCTCTCTCCTGCGCACCACTCACTTGAAGGGACTGAAGAGCCAGTGCCGGGACAGGCGATCCATGGAATAGCCCTCCACCCAGTCTGCATCCAGCTTCTTCACGCCCGCAACGAAGTACACAATGAAGACCTGCACACGCGGAAGACACAAGCACCGCTCCAGAGGGCAGACGGGCCCTTGTTGTCTGCAGGTAGCCAGGGTCAGCGGGAGCTCTCAGTCCAGGGCCCACGGGAGAGGAGACACAGTCACTGCAGAGTCTCCCACTCAACAAGCACTGACAGATGGACAGCCTGCAAACGCTTGGCCCGGACCAGGCATCGGGAGCTCCTGTCTCCCAGGAGGGCCCTCACTGATCAGAGACAGCTGGACCCTTTCCCAGATGAGGGGAGAGACTCAGCGAGGAAGCCTAGCTTCCTAGCAGAAAAGAGAAGACCCCAGGAGGCCGAGAACATGCAGTCTGGCGGTGTGAAGGCCAGGCGGGCTTTACCTCCTCATACAACTCCGTACCTGGCCACGCAGCACTGTGTAGTTCCAGAGGGGCACCTGGGCATTCCTCTTCCGGGCACTCAGCAGGCCGTCCACAGACCTACACCGAGGGAAGCAAGAGCAGGCAGATGGGACAGCTGTATTTCCACCTGTCCTTTGAAAGGAGGTCACTGTCCATGCCAGGAACAGCTCCCTGGTCCTCCCTGCCGCTCTGGCTACTTTGAGGCCTTTAGGTGCCACGATCAAATCCTATCAGTCATGATGGTAAGCTGTGAGATGTGACCAGAAAAAGTCCTACTAGGGTTTTCACCAGTCGACTAGCCACTGAGCGTGTCCTAACAAGTCCAACCAGGAAAAAGACTATTTTAGAAGATGAGGGAAGAAGTGAACAAATTTAAGTATTTGAAAAGCTAATGGTGTGCATGAAAATACAGACTGCACATTAATATTAATTTTCAATTCCAAACACTCGACAGCATAATAATGTGAGGCACACATGACCCTGCGCAGACCTGGACGCCAGGATCTGGTGTCTGAGGGCCCTGCTAACACCTTTTCCTGGAAGAAACTGCTAAGCCCAGGCCATGCAGACCAGGTGTGTTCTGGGGAGGCAGAAACAAAGTCACTTTCCAAGACCATGGGTGAGCAGAGAAGCTGGGCGAGGGGCAGCTTATGCTAGCAGTGAAGAGTCCTAGACTTTACCTGTGAATAAGGTCTTCAAGTTAGAAGGACAATACTGGACCTTAGAGTTAGGGAGACGCAGCTTCTCCTGCCTGCCCGACGGGCATGGCCCCTTAGGCAATCCTTCACTTCTCTAGTTTCTTCATTTACAGAATGGGAAGAACTCTGTAGACCTCGCGCGGTTGCAGTAAGGGGAGAAAGGAGAGTGCCCAGCACGTGGAACGTGCTCAGCGCCAAACAGGCATTTTTAATTGTTTAAGGGGAACTTTTCAGGCTGCTCTGTCAAAACCAGGGCTTCAAACCAGGTCACTGTAGTTGGATCCCAAGCTGAGAAATTGCGTTCCCATTCCCGGCCTACTGAATCAGAAAGGGCAGTTTAACATTTTTGGATCCCTGGGAGATGCGCTTAGATTTTGTTAAAGTGTAGATTCCGTTTTAGTGTTTCAGAACTGGAAAAGCGAAGTCCCAGCAGGAGGGTCGGTCTGGACTTGGATGCCCTGGCCAAAACCGTCCCTTAGTTCTCTACTACAGGCCTGGCCACTCTGTATGAGTTTGAAGGTTCCCAAACGGGGTACTTGTGTGAGTGTATTATGGGGCTGTGTTTGCAAGGTCAGCATTTTGAAACTACCAGCGACTCGGCAGGAGAAGGACGAGGATTTCTATTCCCATAAAGAGTTAGTCTCGAAAACACACAGCAGCAGTTATACCCTGTCCTATAGGGTCACTATGAGTTGGCGGTGAGCATTGTTCTGGCAGGAGCCCTGGGGCCCAGTAGTCACTCAAACTGCTGCCAAGAGAACCCACCAGGAGCTCCAGAGAAAGATGAGGCAGCTTGCTTCGGTAAAGACTGAAGCCCTATGGGGCAGATGGACTCTGTCCGGTAGCATTAATAGGGGTGAGAATTAAGTCAAAGGCAATGGGTTTGGATTTGTTGTGGGTAGGGAGAGGTAGTAAAAGGCAACACCCACTAAAGACACAATTCAGTGACAAGGTCAGTGTCTGACAAGGTTTCTCCTGGATCCACAGGACATTTCGTATTCGCTTCCGTTGTTGTTTCCAGTTATTCCCCATCCTGTCTCATGTTTGCTTTTCAGCCAACAGTGGGAAGGGACCCTTAAAGATCAGCAGACCTGCCAGTCTGTCTCCAAATCTCCTCCCCTTTGGGATGGTCCTCCAGTCAAGAGAGGGAGGGACACTTTTCCCAGGGCAGCAGGCTATGGAGCTGGTGGACACTCTCCCTCTCCCCAAGCCCTGCCTCAGAGAAACTTCCAGTCTGGGTTCTACCTCCACCCCACTGGGCTCGTACAGAGAAGTTCCGCTCCCTGTTCAATATGGCTGCCCTGGAAGGCTCTGAAACAGCTGCCTGGCTTTAGTCTACACCTCTTACTCTACGAGGTGCCAGGGCAGGAAAGGCAGATCAAATCAAAGCACCCGGGGAGAGGCAGAAAAAGGGAAGGGGTGGGAATGGCACCATTTCGGTGTTTGCCATTTCAAGTGTCTCAACCTTGTCCCCTCCCGCCTGCCAAACACAGCCAAATATAAGTGTGGCTGGAAACACAGCTACAGCTAAGAGCAGCAATGACTGGCTTGGCTTCCACCAAGCAAAGCATCAGTGAAAATATGCTTGTTGGGAAAACTCAAGGGCCTTGCTAGGTCCTTCTCTCTGGTAACCATTTTGACCTGGCCACCCCTCCCTGCTGTCCCCCAAGACACATACCAGTAGCGGTTGGCATCCATGAACGTCAGCTGAAAGGCCAGCAAACCATACAGATAGGAGTGGTTGTTCCACGACGTCTTGTCCAGGAGAAACACATACCAGTAAGGCAGCAGGAACAGCACACAGCTTATCCGGTAGCACAGGCCCAGCATCATGCCCAGGGCCCCTGAGATTTGGGAGGGAAAGGATCAAGAGGTCAAGGGGTCACCCCAGGCCCAGGTTCCCTGGAACATGCTGTGGGCAGAATTTTAAAAAGCCACCAGGTGTCCTATAACCCACTAAAGTGGAAAGAAAATTAAATCCTATTTTAAGAAGAGTTAAGGGGTCGCACACAGATGGCACATCGCATTGTGAGTCCCAGAAGACAACGCTACCTAAGGAAGCCAAAGCCTGCGTCAGTCACCAGCACACTCTGTAGCCCTATGGGGCAGGCAGACCAGTCAGGAAGCCCTTCTCCCCGACGTCCCCTCACCCAGAAACATGACGGTGTAGACCAGATACATCCAGTCAAGTGGCAGCGGGCGCAGGGCATCCAGCAAGGGGAAGCGGCACACCTCCAGCCCGTCCAGGTACCTGCGGTCCAGGGAGCTGAGCCCTCGCTCCTGGGGAATGTCCAGCACCATCAACAGCCCTGAGAAAGCAGGGAGAAGGGGCCCATTAGGCGTTGGCTAGGGAAGCAGGGGTGCAGGAGGGAGTTTTTCTAACCCTGGATCTGCCGTTTACTCATCTAGTCAACGATGATGGCCGGATGCCTGCCCCCCAAGAGGCACTGTGCCGGCAGTATGATCTCCGACACTTACTATGTCCACTCAGCCAACTGCCCATTTGTGGAAGGGGATCCTAATACCTCATGGGGGTACAGTAAGAACTAAACCAGAGAAATCATGACAGAATGCTATCCACACTATTAGGCTTCAACAGTTACCACTGGGCTTCAAGTGTCCATGGAAAAATTCCATTATCTTTCATTCCATTTTTCCATTAACTTTCTCAGGGCCCCTTGCCGATTTGGAAATGTAGTTCTACTAGGCTACAGAAAGGACTCTTGGGTGCTTCTTAGCCTGTTTTGCTTCCTGTGCACTTCGATGGGAGAAAGACCAGGGTCGGGTGGGGGGAGGCTGTCCACTACCGTAACTAGTTAGTCTCAGAAACTCACAGGGGCAGTTCTACCTGTCCTATAGGGTCACTATGAGTCAGCATCGACTCCGTGGCAGTGAAGTGTACTTTGAAACTCTACTATTTGGACAACACACTGGGATTCAAAAAAAAGCTACTCAGGTCAGGAAGCTAGTTCCAGTTAAGGATTTCTCAATCTCAGAACTATTCACATTTAAGACCACATAACTCTTTGATAAGCGGTCTTGGTGATGCACTGGTGAAGTGCTTAGCTGCTAGCTGAAAGGTCAGCAGTATGACCCCACCAGCAACTCCTTGAGAGAAAAAGAGCTGATGGTATGCCCTCATAAAGATTTACAGCTTAGGAAACCCTATGGGGCAGTTCTACTCTTCCTATATGGCTGTTAGGCGTCAACACTCAATGGTCATGAGTAATTCTTAGTCAGAAGAGGTCATCCTTTGTATCATGGGACATCTAGCCCCACCCCTAGCCCTCCACAGATGCCACCAAGTCCCTCTCCCTCATTTTAGTTAACAACTAAAAATGTCTCCAGACAATGCCAAAGGCCCCCTAAAAACAATGTGCACCCAGTTGAAAACTACTGGAGTAATGTGAGTCCTATCTCAGCACATTGTAGCTCATTGCAAGCACACACACCTAAGAGTTAGGAAGGTCTGAATTAGGGAGCCACAGCCAAATGTCTGGCCCCTGTCACCGCGGTCCAGTTTCTCTAAAGTGCTTACTTACCAGTTACTGAGCACTTTCGTGCCCCCAGCAAACTGGGACCCTGTTCTTCCTCCACCTTTCCTACAGCTTCAGAGCAAGGCCTTTCTGCCCATCACACCCTACCAGGATGAGACAAGGCTGATTTTGACCTTTTGCATTCTATTGGTATCTTCAGCTTTGAGAAGGGAGGTAAATACACGAAGTAACCAAGAAATAGACATGAAACTACTGTCCGTTGCCCTCCCCCAAATGAACCAGCCCCTCCCGGGAACTGGACTCACCAAAGAGAAAACGGAAGACTGCCAGGTTTGCAGGATCCGTGGGTCGATTCAGCAGAGTCACCAGCCTCGGCCAGCTGGACAAATCTGTCCACTCAAAACCCAAGAGTTTCCCCATTCGGCGGCCCTGCCCAGACTCTGCGGTCTGTCCAGCCTGGTCTTTCTGTACTTTACCTGCAACCAACAAATGGGGGTAATGTTGCTCTCGGATCCGTCACCAATAAGTGATGTGTGTGTGTGTGTGTCTTGAGAAAGATGCTTACAAATCACAAAAACCATGGCCCCACTAGCCCCAAGGCTTCTGCCACCTGCGTTCTCCCACTGACCACAAGCTCTCACAAAAGCCTCTCTGCAGTGCGTTCTCTCCCCAAAGCCCCTCTCACATTACAGTCCCCAATTTAAAGCGCCCCAGAGGACGATCTCCGTTTACAAGCGGAGGGCACTGTCACCAGGGCCCAAAAGGCGGTCTTGCCGACCTCGCCCCCTGAGACCAGTGTCCCTCTGTCCACCACGAACAGACCTGAGCCGGGCGAGGCTCGCGCAGCGCGGGCGGACACGGCCATGGCCCGCGGGGACAGGTCGGCGTCGGCGTCCGAGCAGCAGGCAGCACCAGGCTCACTCCCACGGGCCCCGCCTCCCAGACACGTCAGCACGCGCGCGGCGGGCCGAAAAGCGCCACGCTGTCGTGAAGCGCTCACGTTGCGGCTCCGGGCCCCTTGCTGCACGGCGGCGCGAGGGGTCGAGGGGCGGGGCGGCGTGGGGGCGTGGTCGGGCGTCCTCTTACCCGGTGACCAATGACGGCGGAGGCACGGAAACGCTCCCGGTGCGGCCTGTCGCTCAGCGCAGCGCGCATCTTGTCCAAGGTGCACACCTGCATCCTTTCGCCACTAGAGGACCCCGAAGCGTTGTTTCCTACTTCTTGGGGCCCCTCCCGGCCCTCATTACGCCGTTCGCGGCGGTAGGAACCTTGGGATCCCTCCCCCTAATGTTAGCGGTCAAATAGACTTTACCCAGAGGTGTGGGAGGGCGCGTTGTGGACGTGCCCGGAAAGGACACCAGAGCGCGAATCTCTCCTCTCCTTTCCTGGACCCCCAAAGCCCCGGGGTTTGGAAGCAGCAGGGGAAGCAGGGACCGGCACTGCGTGTGCGAGGGAAGAGTGGGAAAGCTCCGAGCCGAGAAACCCAAGCTCTCTGTCCTGCCGTTGACCGCTCAGAGCGACCCCTGGCCCAGGAGGACTCCACAGCGTTGGCCACGGCTTTGCGCACTTAGGGAAGGAGACTGCTCATCTTGGTTACTTCAAACTGCCTTTGACTTAGCCGCCCACCGCTTAATCCACAGCACCCCCAACACGCCTCGGTGGTTCTTCGCATGGGATTGGTCAGGAGGAAAGGAGGGAAGAAAGCTGAGCACCGGTTCTGAAACGCTGATACTATGACCACTTTAGGTCGTTAGAAACGAACAAACCCAACACTGCCATCCAGTTAATGCGACTCAGCCGTCTGGGTGTGGAAACTTGCTGTTCAGGGAGCAGAAAGCCCACCTTTCTTCCTATGGCGGCTTGTGGGGGCATAAGGGTTATGCTACCTGCGAGGTTAGCAGTTTGAAACCACCAGCAGACCCGCCGCCTTTAAATCTACTTTGACTCCAGACAACCTTATGAACATGACAATGAAATGTTACCATCACTGTGGGGGCTATTGTGCCACTCTGTCTCCCCTCCCCTTGCTGACCCTCTCTTTCATGTATGATATCCTCCTCTGATTGATCCCTGCTAGTCACATGTCCAAAGCAAGCACATAGGAGAAAATTCTAATCCACAAAGTCTTCCTTTTCTTTTTCAACAGTTTTATTGGTATATGAATCACACACATTTAAATCAACCATCTTAAGAAGGATTGTACAATCAATCCATTTTAGAACATTTACTTATTTCTTGTACTCGTTGTTAGTTCCCCAAACCTTCCTTGCCAAAACCCTAAGAAATCCAGTAACTACCGCTGTAGATTTACCTCTCCTGGATGTCGTATACAGAAAGACATGCACGGTGTGTGTGTGAATAAAAACAAAAGTAACAACAATAAGTATAACAACAGAAAAACCGCAGTAGAAAAGAACCAGAAAATATTAAAAACTAGAACAAATTTAAAATGGTCAAAGTGAGATCAAATGATAAGGGCTAAATTTTAATTAACACTTTAATCCCAAAGTCTTAATCCAGAAAGTATATTTTGCCCTTCACTTAAAAGAATTGAGACAACTTTAAAATGAGTCAAAAGGGAGGTCCAATAAGTGTTACATTTTAACCTAAGTCCATCTGCCACAGTCAACTTTACTGTGCTCTGATGACAAGGCTAGTCACATTCCCTTGATTATGGACACAGAGAATTCACTGGACGCTGTCTGTGTGTGGACCCTGGAAATGGATTTGGGGTTTCCGCTGTCTTCCATAACCTTCTGCAAACTAGGTGTTCTCAATTTAACTTCTGATGCCATTCCCCGCTTCAGATCCAGATTTCGTTATTTACAACCCTTGGATTACACGGACTGGCGTCTTCTTCCATGTGGACTTAGTTGACGCCTCGTTTAGACAGCTGTTTGTTCAAAGACAGCTTTTAAGACCCCAAGCAGGGCCATGTTATAAGAACTAATTGTACTTGGATTGGGCCTATAATAAGTGTGATCCCAAAATCTATTCATATATCTATGATTAATGTATGTCTCTTGTTCACTTTGGAAACATCATTATCATTTTATGTTAGAGAACATTATCAATCATCCCCCTGGAGCATAAGGTAATTCTACTGACTTAATCCAGTGTCATTAATTTGGTCAATGGTATAGAGTTTAAAACACTGTTGAGAAAAGGGAATTATACAAGTATAGGGTGGCAACCTCAATGAAATGAATTGCTAACTTGTACAGAAAAACTCTTTACACAAAAAATGAGGGTGGCTTATACATCCACAAGATTTTCATTGACCTGAGAAGCAACAAACCTACATGGAAGAAGCACACCAGCCTGTGTGATCATGAGGTGTTGATGGGATCAGGTATCAGGCATCAGAGACCCAGAACTGAAAAATATCAATGTGAATGAAGGGAAGGGTGGAGTGGAGACCCAAAGTCAATCTGTAGACAATTGGACATCCCCTTACAGAAGGGTCACGAGGAAGAGACGAGCCAGTCAGGGTGCAGTATAGCACTGATGAAACACACAACTTTCCTCTAGTTCTTTAATGCTTCTTCCCCCCCAACTATCATGACCCCAATTCTGCCTTACAAATCTGGCTAAACCAGAGCATGTACATGGAAGCTGGAAACACAGACAATCCAGGACAGATAAACCCCTCAGAACCAATAATTACAGTAACAATTCCAGGAGGATAAGGGGAAGGCGTGGGGGAGAAAGCAGAAACCAATCACAATGATCTACATATAACCCTCTCCCAGGGGGACGGACAACAGAAAAGTGGGTGAAGGGAGACAGTGGTCAGTGTAAGACATGAAAAAAAATAATTTATAACTTATCAAGAGTTCATGAGGGTGGAGAAGGTGGGAAAATGTGCTGATACTAAGGGCTCAGAAAGAAAATGTTTTGAAAATGGCAACTGTGTTAGTCTGGGTGGACAAGAGAAACAAAATTTATAGACATGTGTATAAAAAGAACTTTATCTAAAGAGTAATTCTACATTAAGAAAATATCCCAACCTAGTCCAGACCAAGTCCATAAATCCAACATTAGCCTATACGTCCGATACCAATCTATAAAGTCCTCTTCCAACTCATGAAACGCATGCAATGATGCTGAATGCAGGAAGATCACAGGCCAGTGGGTGGGAAGTCTTGTGGCTCCAGTGGCATTGTAAGCATCTCCGCGCTGGCAGGGGTCTCCACGTGGCTTCTCCAGTCCCGAGGTTTTGGCTCTATCAGCCTGTCTCCATGTGGCTTGTCAACAAGAACGTCTCGCAGGGACTGGGCTGAGAGAGAGTATCTCCCGCCTTCAAGGAAGACTGAATGAGTTCCCAGAATCCTCAAGAGAAAGCCATGCCCACACAGAGGCCTCATTGGCTATCCCTGATTGACAGGATAGACTCCATCCCTTCACTCCTAATCCTCTCAAATTGACAAACAATTATAGAACTACCAAAGCGGCATATGTACAAATGTGCTTGACACAATAGATGTATGTATGGATTATGATAAGAGCAGTACAAGTCCCCAATAATATGATTTTTAAAAAAGATTTCCATTGACTGTTGTTCAGAAGGTCTTTCCTCCTACTTTGTCTTAGTCTGAAAGCTCTGCTGAAACCTGTCCACCACGGTGACACTGCTGGTATTTGAAATCTCGTGGCACAGCTTCCAGCATCACAGCAAAATGCAAGCTACAAGGATGACAAACTAAGAGATAGGTGGGTTGCACTATAGGTTATACAGCAATGAGAGGGGTGGTCTAGGGACATACACACAATAGGAAGAGGAGGGATTGGAGTATACATGTGACAAAATGGGCAGATCCTAGATTTCAGATGGCAGTTTAACTTTGACCTGTTCCCTGGGTCTCCATAGGAACCATTATCAGTAGGGTGTAAACTCCTCCTACTGGAGCCTGTCCATTGTCCCCAGCAGCAGGGAATAGGCCCACCCCTATGCTGTGGGGAGACAGCAGTCTGGCAGCAGGGAGGATGTTTGTGAGCTGACCGTGGCCCACAGGCTAGGAAAGAGGGTTGAAAGGGAAGATATGACAAAATAATAATTTATAAATCATCAAGGGTTCATGAGGGAGGGGGGAACGGAGAGGGAGGGGGAAAAATGAGGACCTGATGCCAGGGGCTTGCGTGGAGAGCAAATGTTTTTGTTTTTTTTTAGGAGAAATAAATGTTCTTTATTGTGTCTATTCTTTT